TAGATGCGGGGCTAGATCCTGCAAAGGATTTCATCAGTACAATTCAAGACATTACAGCTCCTTGTGAGGGCCCTGAGCACACTTCCCCCTTCTCCTAAAGGTTTTAGCTGCCTGACTTGAGGGCTGATTTAGTGATAACAGTTGTTATGAAGAAAGATTTGGAAGAAGCCTCAGGGAGGGCTCTCAGCTTGGGAGCTGCTGTTAGGCTGAGCCTCTCTCTCACCCGTGGTACCCACCTGAGCTACCCTGCAGCAACATGACAGCCCTGTCTGCACCTGACCATGTGCCAAATCGATCCAGACCCTGGCACACAGACTTGACCTTCTGGCTTGACCTGTCTCATCATGATGGACTTTACTGGCAATCACTGAGCTGTAGATAACCCTATTATCACCTGATCCTCATCCTGACCAGTTGGCTCAACTCCTGGGCTCCTTAACAGTGATGTCGCTGTCCCTGTCTGCCTTGCTGTCAACCTTGGCTTCTGGTTCTTAACACTACCCATTGTTAGAAAAGGGCTTTCTGAACTACCTGGTTATAAAGTAAACTGGTGATTCTGTAAAAAAAAAATAAATCTTATAACTTCTGGAGCTTTGGTGACTGATCTTGGAATCCCAGTATAGTGGAAACAACTCCCTCTGCTAGAAGTAGGTCTCAGGACAGGGCCACAGCTCACACTTGCCTGTGCCCTTTAGCACAACGAATGTGGCAGTGTGTTCTGCTGCCTGAGAGGCAGGTGGCCAGCAGTTATCACTTCTACACAGCCTGCTGGCTAGGCCCTCCTAGTAGGCAGAAAACAGAAGTTTTCATTCTTTTAAGCTAGTAAAATAACTCACAAAAAAACCCTCCCTAAAGTCCACCCCAGTGCTGTAACACATGGGGAAGGAATTGTAACAATTTCCTCGTTCCCACTGCACCTCTGAAGGGCAGTGGTCACCATCCACGTCCTCCAGCAGCCTTGCAGAGTGCAGCAGTGCTGTGCAGGTGATGCAGGCTGAGCTGCCAGGCCAGGTGGGCAGGAGACCTCTCAGGCTGCCATTTCCCACCCACTTAGCACTGAGCTGTTGACAGTGACAAGATGCAAGCTGCCCTGAGCAGGCACTTTAGGCTCCTAGGGAATTCTAATAAGGCTTTAGATAAAACAGGAGGATTTGATGCTGCAACCCTTGGCTTCAGGAGTCTTAATTACCCTTACAGTCCATTAATGTCATAGATATTTTTCATAACTACTAGAATCCAAAACCACATTTAAAAAACACAACATTTAAAAAACCAAATAATAGAAATTAAAAACGATGAGATTTATACTCAAAGATTAAAACACATGTGCTACCTCAAAGACAGCTCCTCCAAGCATTACCTCTGTACTACCTACAGGCGAACATCTCGCGTATCTCTGACACCTCATGGTGTACCTCCCTTGTGCCCACTGGCCAGACAAGCAAATTTCATCAGCTCAGCTAACAGACATTTAGCTCTGTCAATGCAAGACTTTTGCAACAGCCCGAAACCAGCTCTGTTCTTGATGGATGCTGATGGTGGAGGCAGGGCAGGGAGGAGACTGAGGACAGGCTATTTGCTCACCTTCATGCTATCTGTTGCCAGCCAAGAAAGAATAATGATTTCTTATAAAATGCGTAACCTTCTCCAATGCCCCATAGTTATTTAAGGCTTGGGGCTAGCTCTGTACCAATCCCAGAGCACCTGTCCCCAGTATGTGCTGTCTGTGTTGGGAACTGCTATCCCTGAGGGACTTCAGCAGCTGTGGCAGGACCAGACAGTGTCACTGGGGATATCAAAGGGGCCAGGCATAAACTGCAAATAAGGAGGAACTTGCTTTTATTCAACTCTTAATTGTGATAAGTGACAGGACAGTGGCCTTACTTTACAGATTCACACTAATATGATATTATATTTTAGCTATGAGGCATGATGGAGCTTTGATTTTAAGCAGCCAGTCACCGCTGAAAATTCTTTATTTTCATACCTGTGATGGAGTTGACAACGGAGCGCAAAATTGTGGGAGGCTTAATCAGCTCCTTCAGTATGTTAGATTCTGTTGCTAGTGGAAAGCCATTGTCTAACATTTCTTCCAGAAGCTCATACACAATAACTACATTGTCCTTAATTGCAGTCTCAGAACATTCGCCGAAGTAATCCTAAACAAATCAGAGATTACAAAGAACAGGATTTTTATTCCTGTTAAAATGCTTTGCAAAAGTTTGTTTGTTGTTGTTTGTTTGTTTTTTTTCTTACCGAAACCCTCCAATATATCAAGGAATTTCAGTGCCTAAACTGACTAGCTACTGCAATAGTTTGACTGTATCATACATTAAGATTACATTTATCTTCTACTTAAAAATGAAGACTCTGTGAACTCTAAAATTGATGTAATCTGGTTTACCAGTATGTATGTCCCAAAGGTTCTCCCAGTTGTGAACATTAACATATCTTCAGTTAGAAGACTCTTGTAAAATAAGGAGACCATCTCTTGGCAACCTTCACAGAGATTCCTTTATTTACAGTATTTGAAATGGGTTGAAAACTGACTCAACACTTTGCATCTCTTTCCTCCCTACAGAGTGCTTCATGACTACATGCGCCCTCATGTCAATCTATATAACACGAACAGTACAAAAGCTTACAGAAAAAAGAAAGCATTTACAAAGTGGGATTTAGGTTTTAGTGTATATGCACCGGTATCTATAAATCAAATGAACACACAAAACATACTTCCTTTCCCTTTGCACACTATAAACCAGTGCTTGACTTAAAAATTCCAAAGAGGAAAGTCACTGAGAGGAGGGTTTATTACATTTCTTTAAAAGAAGTTTATAAAAAAAATTGTCTTGGAATTATTTCAATTTTAAAATTATTTAACGGTGACAGACCTGGAAAGTATCTGCTACTCGGTGTAGAAATTCAATTACAAAGAGTGGTGGCACTTCTGTCTGTATGACAGACACAAAGAAGATTTTATCCCGATAGATGCTGATGAGGTAGTGATGCGGCGTTGAGATGACAGGAGGCACATTCTCGACATCGATTGCTTTCTCTTGCGCTTCAAAGAAATAGTCACACACAGACTGGCTCACAACGCTAAAAAAAGAATATATCACCAGAATAGTTTATAAGAAACAGGCTGTGGATCATTTTCTGTTGGAAACACATTCAAAGAAGTTAAAATAAACAAAACAGTATGAGGATTGACATTGTTTCTCCTCCTACACTCCCTTTCTTACAACAGCTACTCTTTATTAACGTGCACTGTGAATTTAAGAAAAAAGATCTGCTTTTCTTTAAATTGCATTCTTTTCATTTAGAGGAATTTTCCACCACAAAATATTTCACAGTGGATTAAGCCACTAACATACATCACAATGTAAGCAAGAAGCTAGCACTTGATTTCCACTTTCATCTCTACTCTGGTATTTGTAATTTATTTCCTAAAGAAAACCTGGCTCTCATGAGTTGGCACTCAGACATGTTTGACAACATCTAAGGGTAACTGATACATAAAGTTTCCTATGACAGAGGAGTTTGTGTAACATTCACACACGTAACTAAGAATTCCACTATTCTAAAGATACAGTTCTTTAGCTTGTCAGCTTTCAGCTACTGAAGTAGAAAAGTGTTTTCGTTTGCTAGCTGATTAGTCTTTTACTTACGATCTATGCCAAGCTGCACTTGGATAAAGGGTTGGAATTCATTAAAAGTACACAAAACCAGGAGTTTAAATATGATTTAATGAATAGAATTGTCTCAAATATGCTTGACAGACATTAAATATGTTTACATAAAATGATTTATGCTTAAAAAGTAACTCACTCGTGAAAAAGGGGAGTATGAACCGCAGATAAGGAATGTAATTTTTGTTCATATCTTTACAGATTTACAAATAACGTGCCTCAGCCACTGATCCTTCATTTTATTCATGGGACTTGAATAAATGAATATCTGTCTTTTCAAGAAACTAATTCCCAGTCTATTTCTCAACTTGCAATGAGATAACACGTGAACTAAGTTGTTGATTCAAATGAAGTGAAGAAACTATTTTCTCCACATCTACAGAAGAGATAAATGCTACCAGACTTCAGTTTATCTCTTTAGCCTTTACATCAGAGACAATGGCTGACCTGCAGCATAACCGTCCTCTGACCAAGTTTAAACTCAGGTTTAGAAGACAAAACAACAAATTATAACCTAAGCACTGGCTGCTCATGGTGAAGTTAACCTGGTACTTATATCCTGCATAAATCCATTCTGTAGTTGAAGATGCTGCCCCTGACACTGGCTATTTATCCCTTTTGCCTTATTGGTAATGATTTGAGCAGGTCTCCGGCTCTGCAATTACCTATATCAGAAAAGAGGTCCAGCCATAAATCGACCCAGAAAAAGCAGCTTCTGGTCAGATGAGCTTCCTGATGCAAGTTATTACATTGCCAGAGCATTCTAGAGCTGGCAAAGAGGAGGTGGTGGAAACATGACAACAAAGGAAAGATACTGAACTGAAGTCTATTTAGCCTTTGAAGGAATTCAAACACGACTGGAAACAGACCGGTTACTGGGCGTCCACACCTTGAAACAGCAAGACCACCATCAACTCTGCATGTCCAAGAGAAGCCAAACACATCTACAAAAAACCTATCATAGTCTTCATTAATCTTGGCATGTTTGGAGAGAATCATGCCACAAAATGCAGATAAAACGTACTCCTTCGCTAATGTTAACTCTGGCATACAAATGTGAAGACTGCACAGAAGCACCTGGATGTAAATTGCCCGGTCCCACAGAGATATTAAGGAGTCGAAACACTGTAGGATTAAGCCTCATTCCAAAATACTGGAATAAATACTTAGCTCGATCCAGAGTGAGCTCTTGTTGCCCAGAGTATTAGGCTGACCTCCCAATACTCTTGCAACACTGAAAACTGGTCTGGCCCTGCAAATCTCGACAAAACAAAAGTAAGTCTTCCAAAGCTCACCAGAGAAGGTGAAAAAGGACTACTAATAAGGTAGTTAGCATGCTATTTCCCTCCACCTAAGTCAGCAGATGTGGGAAGGGAGCCAAGATCCAGCTTTTCAAATTCTAAACTCCAGCTTCTCCTTCACATGCGTGACAGCAATGTACTCATCTTCACTGGAGCCTTGCCAGTCATACTTCCTGCTAAGAGCACACTGTCTTGGGTGGTAGACACAAAAAGACCTGTAGTCAAAACAAGGACAGAAAAATCCAACTAAGCCAACATGGTATATAAGAGGAAGTTCTTCTGGAAACTGATTGCCAATTAGCTTAAGAGTGGGAAAGGAAACAAAGCTACAAAATGCTATTGCATGTTTCTACTGTATCTCTCCTGGACCAAATTAATCTCTAACTTGGTTTGTTAAAAAATCAGATAATTTTAATACTGTGAGCACAGCATTCTTATAAAGGAGGCTTGACACAATTGCTTTAATCCAGTTTAACTAAACATGTTCTGAATTTAGCCAGCGCTGAACATTAAAACCCTCGAAAATCTCCTGGACAGTCACCCAATGGTGGCAAGTATAATCAACCACTGAATGTCAGTATTGTTCCACACCAAGGCAGCCCAAACATATGAAGGTGATCAGCTATAAAGCTTAGAACAGTTCTCTGTACATTTTAATATGGATACAATAGCATATCTGTTTACAAATACAAACCCCAATTCCTAGTAAATGCACACAAAGCTGCACAGGAAAGTTTCAGTCCAAGCAGCACCGGTAAGACTCCTTTTCCAGAAGACTTGATCTAAGCTCACTGTGGAGAAGCTATGCTGGACTGCAGGCAGTTTTGGATGATACTCTCACAAAGTGTATCAGATACGTGTGGTACAGCGTTTTTAAGCCCTAATAGCTGTCCTGCTATTGATGTTCATACAGATTCTATTGATCAGAAATGACAGCATTTGTCATTACATACTTTTAACAAGCACAGCAGTGTTCCTGGCACACAGAATGGTGGTGTTAGCAGGGGTTCTTCTTTTACCATAAGTTCCACTTAGGATATTAGACCACGACTTCATATGCAATTGATGGAGGGCATGGGTAGTCAGAACGGGTGGTAGTGTTGGACCACTGCCCCGTTTATTCATCTGCCCCAAGCTGCCCAGGTACTGGCTGTGTTTGTATGAGTGTTTGTGAGGCCTTGTGGTGAACTGGAGTAGCAAACTGATCCAGGTGACCATACTTGGCAGATTACGGCTTTACAGTATCTGTGGAAACTGGGCAGTAAAATCCCACCTAGCTGCCTAACCTATCTTCTGGGTAGGAAGACAGCTACTACAGGATTTCTCACAATACAAAATTATTTTGCTCCTAGCATAAGAATTCCCTTCAAAACCACTCACATAGTCCTTTCCTCCATCACAAGTTTTAGCAGTACACTAATTTGCTGCTAATCTGAAGTGCTCTGGAAAAATGAATCTCTTTCCTTGCAGCTTAAGTATAGAGCAGACAGACCCATGGGCACAAGCACAAGCCCTGCCCTATCAGTCAGTGGGCAGCTCAGTTTGCATGCTTCCCTCTGCCAGTGCTGACTTCAGTAAAGAAGCTCTTACAGCAGCAAGGACATCAGTTTATTATACACAAGACATGATTTATCCCACACACTGTCAAACAACTGGCACTGGATGTCATGTTGGATATCTGGTACTACTACAAAAGTATCTTACACAAGCTAATGTTTAACAAAAATTACTTACAGTGCTCCCAATACTGAAGCGTTCCCTGATACTCTATTTTTTGAGTGCCAGTTTTCATTTCAGACATGTGGACATTCCTGAATTCCCTACCTTCTTCTAGCTCATTAGAACATTAGATCACCAAAGAAAAAAAAAATTAAAAATGCTGAACATAAGAAATCAATCTAGTAAATCAAACTGTAAGATTCCTCACACCAACAGGTCAAGTTAATATTTGTGGCCAAAGTGCAAAGAATATCAAGAGCTGCAACACTTTGAAGGTAAAGGTCTCGAATCAAAGTTTGTAAGTTTAAAAAACAGTAGCAAAAGCACACCATCAAAATTTAAGAATCACGATAGTACCTGTGCAGCAGCGTAAACATAAACCACTTTGAGATGGCAGCATAAAACCACTCTATATAAAATTCTGACGGTGTGCTTCTAGAACTGTTTCAAGAGGACATGCCTTCCATCTTTCTGCTTTTTACCCTAAGAAGCAGACTGAAGATATATGTGCATTATTATTTGCATCTTTAGTCCAGAGCAAGCCATTCAATTTCATTTTTAGTAGGCTGACAACCTTCCATAGCACTGCCTGACTGAAATGCACCTTACAGGCACTGCAGAAACAAGCAGCCCAGCAGAGATTTTGCAGCCTCTCGCAGACTTCCCGTCCTTGCTGTGACACACAAAACTCTACGTGACTCTTTGTAGTAACTTCTGTCCTACCAGAATTTGAAGTCCTCACAGAAGAACTAAATATTTTAACTAAGGCGCCTTCAATATGCTGTTTGCAAGTCTGTATCTCTTCTTTTGACTAAATCTGGATTTTGCAATGTTACTGTTTTTTCAATCTCTTGGCAGAGAAACATCTGGACTGAAGTCACAGCAGGCTCACGAGACAAAAGTGGAGCTCATTGGCAAGGGGGAGAGGCTGCGAGCATGGGAAAAAGACTTACTGCACGTGCTTGTCCTTAGCTATAATTAAGTACTCTGAAATGTAATCAATGCAGAAATACTGTTACCAGCTGCTTTTTCATAACACTGAGCTGAGTAACAGTCAAAGCTCTGAAAACCAGGAACGGAGGAATTTACCCCTGACCTCTGCAATGCCCTTTAGAGCTACTAATAATTACTGAAAACAGCTCAAAAAGGGAGCATCACTGGGAAAGCATTCAACAACTTCCATGTTTCCTGCATTTGGTGTAGCTGCTCTGAAGGGCAGAAGGATTAGTGGAGTTCGACTGCCTGAGCCTCTGTTACGTATTCGTGAAAATGAACTTCTAGTGACAAGCAAATGGAAAGTAATCAAGTGCTTTAAGTAATATGGAGACACAAATAAGCTAAGATAGGCAGTTTTATGTCTATTTTAAAGCTAATATTTTTGTTCACAACCAGCTGGTCAGTAGTTTAGCTTTTTTCTATAAATTCAAGATGTGTCCCAAATGTG